AGTGTTCCGGGTGAGCCCTCTTGGGCCACAGTGGCCCTTCTGCCTTTATGAAAGGTAGAATGAATCATTTCTTCTTTTCTACACCTGTGGACCACGAGCCTTTCCAGTTGCCACGTGTGCTGGTTGGTTTTAACTGTCAACTTGACACAACTTACAGCCATCTGTGAGGAGAGTCTAAATTGTCTAGACCAGGTTAGTGGTTAGTGGTTCGCTCTGTGCTTTGAGAGGGGAGAGGGGGTGAAATGATCGAGCAGGATCCCACCATTTGTGAGTGCCTGGCGCAGACAGCTCCCCTGGGAGATGGTTAAGTGTTACACCACCACTTTATTCCAGAAATGAATGGTAATATAAAGGCTGGGGACAGTGGCAGGGGCATCACCTAATTTGCATTAAGATGTACAGTCCTATCAAAAGGTTCCTAGTATGTGCAGTAAGGGAGCCTTCCAGCAGGGTTCTTTGCTGGGGTTCAAGCTAAAGTCAGGCATTTGGTTTAACAAGAGCTTTCAGATAAGGCCAGTCCTCCAGGCCTGGGGACATTCTCCAGATAAGGACAGGTAGAGAGCACGAAATCTTGCTGGGGAGGGAGGGAGCTCCATATTTCCGACGTTAGAGAAAAAGCTGCTAGGCTATGGCCGACTGTGGCGTCTACCAATCAGCAATGCATCCCAACACAGCTTGGCCCATAGGCATGTGAGGGGGCGACGTCTTGATTAACTGGGGTGGAAGAACCACCTTGTATGGGGGAAGTACCACTTCATGGGCTGCAGCCTGAAGTGTGCAAGGGCAAAGGAAGCTGAGATGGTCAAGCAGGCTGCACACACACACACACACACACACACACGCACACATGCACACGCACACACACACACGCACACACCCACCCACACACACACACACACACACACACACACCTGACCCACTCTGCTCTTGTCCAGGGATGGACCTGACTAGCTTCCTGAGTTCCTGACTTGCCTTTCCCAAAATGATGTAACAGGAACTGTAAGCCAAAGAAACCCTCCTCTATCCTCAGCTGCCTTAGGACAGGGTAATTATCATGGTGACAGACATGAAACTAGGACACCAGAACACATTGTGTCACAGTCGGTTGTACCCGCTACACCTTCTTTTGTTAAAGGGGTCAGACTGGAAATGGAGAAGCTGCTGCCGGAAGAGTGAAGGGTACTGTGGGACCTGACCTCAGAGAGCATGTTCTGCAGTGTGGTAATGGCTTCTTGTGGCCTCATTGTCCGCATGGCAGGCAGTGGGCTTGAGCAGGGCGTTTGAGGACAGTGCTGTTATGCCCACTGGTAATAGGAAATTTTCCAGGCTTTGTCCAGCAGGCTTCTCTTGTTTGCTTTCTGTTGACATGATAAACACCAAGGCCAAAAACAACTTGCAGAAGAAAGAGATGATTTCGCATATAGATTCCACTCCATCACTGAGGGAAGCCAAGGCAGGAGCTCAGAGCATACCCAATGACACACAGGCATAAGTTGGCAAATAGGAGATTGTCCCTAAAAGCTGACATTGAAGACACAGTTTTACCTGATTAAACAAACACCTAAAACCAGTTCAGGCCAGATTGGCCATTGCCCTTGCTTCCAGAGTGAGTTTGCATATAAACAGGGTGTTATCAAGGGGAAGAAATCGTTTCCTCAGTTATAGCAGATGTACATGTAGCCACATGTAGATGAGGACCCTGGGTTGCTAACCAGTCACTAGGTACATTGTTGGGAGTGGGTGTGTGTGCACAGTGCACGCAGATAAGGACCCCAGGTTATCTGTGATGTCTACCAATCAGCAATGCATCCCAACACAGCTTGGCCCATGGGCAGGTGAAACCTTTGTAGGAAGTCCAGATAATCCATTAGAGCTCTTCCTTCAGCTGTGTATTTGAACACTGGTCAAAATGCAGAGACTAGGCCAGGTGGTGGTAGCACAAGCCTTTATTCCCAGCACTCAGGAGGCAGAGGCAGGAGGATTTCCATGAGTTCGAGGCCAGCCTGGTCTACAAAACTACACAGAGAAACCCTGTCTGGGGGGGGGATGCAAAGCCTAACTGACTGTGGGATTGCCCAGTCCCAGTTGATCCATCTACAACACAGCTCCTGCACCCAGTTCTCAAAAGACATTGAGGAAGACGGGGCAGCACAGTTGTAAGGGCCAGAACACCTGTTGCAAGATAGTGTCTTCTGCAAGTAATAGGGAGGCTGCTGTGAGATCTCAGCAATATGGTCACAAGACATTTATTTAATGTGCTCTCTTGCTTTCTACCCCCTCTCCTCTCCTCCCCTCCCCTCTCCTCTCCTCTCCTCTCCTCCCCTCCCCTTCCATTCCCCTCCCCTTCTTCTCCCCTTCCTCCTTCCTTCTCTCCATATCTTCCCCCTCTCTCTTCCCTCCTCTCCCTCTCCTTCCTTCTCTACCTCTCCTCCCCCTCTCTCTTCCTCTCTCTAACTCTCCCTCCCTTTCTTCCTCACTGAGTATATCTGCCCTTCGCTTCATGCCTATTGATGTATGCCCACAAGAGTGAGCACTGGGCCTCAGTGTTTTCAATGGTGAATAAAGGGTTTTTTCCCTTTACTTTTTTCATACAGGCTCTCTGTTGTCTCCTCTCAGCTGCCCTCCTGGCCTCTGCCTGATAATTTTACAGCACATCATAAAATCACAAACAGCCCATGGCAGCCCATGATCCCCTCCCATATAACCCAGGTCTGGATGTCAGCTGTGAGACTTTCTGTTTACATAGAAACACATGGTTGAAAATGAAGGCTGTTAGCCACACAAAGGATGTTTTTCTCTGGATAATTGTAGAGCACAGGGCAGACTGATGCTTATCACCCAGGAACCCTTCACAGTGGAACTGTTAGGGATGGGACATGGTTGGGATAGATGATTTTTAAAAGCCAGTGCCCATGAATGCATGCTAAAACAGTGCACACATTTGCTTCGTTCTGTGCTTGAAAGGGCTTGTTTGAAAGCCGCATAATCTCTGGGTTTTCTTCTTGAAAAGATCTCTTCAATCTCTTCTTTACCTGCTTATTTATTCTCTAAGCAAAGACGAGCCTGGCATCCGAGGATCTGCCAAGTGTCTGTATGTTGATCCATTCACACCCTCAGGCTTTCAGGCACTAGCCCAGCCCCACCACTATCTTCCTGAAAAGCCTCATCAAGAAACAGCCGTCTGGTAAGGTTGGACTGTGTATGCCGTGAGTGTCTGCAATTAGTCCCCAAAGCCTTAAGAAAAATAAAGCAGAAAATAAATAAACAAATAGGCAACTAGGTCTTCTATGTCTTCTCAGTTGTCCCCCTTCCTTTTAAATAGGAAGGCCCCAATCCCTCTCCTTGAGTTTAGTTCTAACTTACCCCATAGAAATTGATCATTGGAAGCCAGTCACTCTCAGGTCCTGTTTGGGGCACATGGAGGATTTCTGAACAAACATTGTATCTGCCCCTGCCTCCCAGGAAGAGGCTTCTTGCCTGAAGACAAGGCAGTGTGGCAGGCATTCCTTGCAGCAATGCACCTAAGTGTGCCACAACCCAGTAAAAACACAGCTCACATCGTGCTGTGGGTTGGCACCCAGATCCTACCTAGCACACCGAGTCTGGGCTGTGCAGTGAGTCTTACTTCCAAGGCTGCTTTCTCAAATGGTCTCACTACACAGCAGATGCTGACACCCCAGGCTCAGCCAGCAGAGCAGTACCAGAAGTCCCACACAGGAGCCCATCAGAAACATATCAGTCTTCCCCCACCTTGTCTTTTTTTTAACTATTACTCTTTAGGTTCCCGCCACCCAGCTCCCAAATAAATACATGGTGAAAGGTTCAGGCATTATCCTGGCCTGCCCTGTTACCTGGCAGGATGCACTTAGGCAACACTCTGGCCAGCCCAGAGTTCCGTGAGAACCATGCAGGTACAAAGGGCCCCTTTAAAGGACTGACCCCTGCCTGCTTACGCTCTCTTGCTCATGCTCTCTTACTTTCATCTCTCTCTGTCTCTCTCTGTCTCTCTCTCTCTCATCTCTCTCTCTCAGCTCTGCACAGGTTGGTTACCTCTCACCCCCCTTTTCCCTCCCTGTCCACCAATAAACTCCACGTGGGATCGTTGAGTCACGGTCTGTGTCTCTTTACTGGATAAACCTAAACATTTTAACAACACATGGAGACTTAAGAATTCCAGCCTTTGCTTGGCTTGTTTCTAGCCAGCTTTGCTCAACTTAAATTATCTAGTCTACCTTTTGCCTCTGGACTTTTATCTTTCTTTAGTCTATATCTCTTTCTTTCCTTCTTACTCCATGGCTTGTGTAACTGAGTGGTTGGCCCCTAGCATCCTTCTCTCCTCCTTTTTTTCCTGCTCTTCTCTCTCCTCACTTTGCCATCCCTGCCCATTTCTCTCTCTTGCCTTGCTATTGGTCATTCAGCTCTTTATTAGACTAGTCAGGTGTTTTAGGCAGGCAAAGTAACACACCTTTACAGAGTTAAACAAATGCAACATGAAAGAATGCAACATATCTATGCATCATTAAACTATTATTCCATTGCATAAACAAATGTAACACATCTTCAACTAATTCCACAACAACCATAACACTGAATCAGAATCTGCTTTTGGACATATATTCATTGTACATAGTAGTAGGGAGTTAATTATTTATTTATGTCATTTGTGTAATGGGGGGTATATCTATTCGTTCATTTGGAAGTGCACACTTATGTACCGGTAAATATGTACATGTGTAGAGGCCAGAAGTTGGCATAGACTGTCTCTATCATTCTCCCCTTAGTTTTGATTTTTAAATTATATTTATTTATTTGCCTATCTATTTAGTGTGTGTGTGTGTGTGTGTGTGTGTACATTCTTGTGCCACAGACCAGTGTGATCAGAGGAACCTTGCAAGAATAGGTTATTTCTTACTATCATGTGGATCCTAGGAATTTAACTCAGATTGTCAGGCTTGTTGGCAAATGCCTTTACTGGCCCTTATCCTTGTTTTTTGAGACAGGGTCTTTCGCTGAACCTGAAGATCACCAGCTAGGCCCGCTGGTCACCGAGCTTCAGGATTACTGGGTTTGTATATGAGTGTTTATGCACAGATCCTAGACTGGATAAAAAGAAGGAGACCTGTTGGACACAGGCATTCGTCACCCTCTGCTTCTTGACATAGGATGCCATGCGAGAGCTTCTGTCTCCACGGCTGTGCTGCCATGACGACTACACCCTTGGCCAGTGAACCAAAATAAATCCTTTCTTCTTCAATTGCTGTTTTAAACAACCTTATTTTATATACTAATCCCAGTTCCCTCTCCTCCCAGTGCTTTGGCTCCACACACCACCCCACTGCCTTCTCCCCTTCACTCCGGGGCCACCCCTTCCACTCCTCAGAGAGGGTGAGGCCTCCCATGGGGAATCAACAAAGTTTGTCACACTAGTCGAAAGAGGACCAAGTCCCTCCCCACTGTATGTAGGCTGAGCCAGTTATCCCTCCATATGCAATGGGCTCCAAAAAGCCAGTTTATGCAATAGGAATAAATATTGATTCTACTGCTAGTGACCCCACAAACTGCCAAAGCCACCTGTCACCCACATTCAGAGGGCCTAGTTCAGTCTTATGCAGGTTCCCCAGCTATCAGTCCAGAGGCACTTCACAGTGGTTTTTGTCAGGGTATTTGATTATAGCAGCAGGATAAGTAGTTGAAACTCATACCTTATACTCATACATGCTTTTATATATTTTACTTCGTCTGACTATTTACCTGAAGGACTCTTAGTTAACATATCACAGAGAATCTGTCATTTTAAATGACCTTTAGTGGTTTGTGTGTACATTGCCATGTTGGAATCACAGAAGGTGACTGCTTCTTTCCTGATCTCTAATGCCCAGAAGAATCCAGACTAACAATCCTAGACACTCCAAGGATGGAGACTGGAAATCTCTCACCTGAGTTTCTTTCCCATTCCTCCAGCAAAGTACCCTGAAAAATAAATCTATGGGAGGACATGTTTATTTGGGTTCATTTGTTTGAGGGTAGAGTCCACCATGGCAGGAAGGTTCTGAGAGCAGGAACCTGAGGCAGCTGGACACATTACATTCATAATTGGAACGATGGAGTGATGAATGTCTATATTCCTGCTCAGTTCATTTTCTTCATTGATACCATCCAGTATCCCAGCCAGGGAATGGCACCACCCACAGTGAGCACGTCTTCCTGCATCAATTAGGCTATCAAGATAATCCCCCAGAGGTATGCCTGGAAACCCATCCCTAGGTGATTCTAGATTCTGTCAAGTTGACATCTAGCACTTACCTTCCCATCTCTATTTAGGGCAAGCATCCTAGGTGTTTTATGTTCTGCCAGCCAGGCAGCACAGTCCAGGGGTTCCCAGATGTTCTCTTGATAAACAGCAACTCCTAGGGAAAGAATGTTAAGGGAATTCCCAGACCACCTTCCAGAGGTTGTGTTTCCCTAGACTAGGGTGGGATGTCAGGATAAGTACCTTCTTGACCCCTACACAGGTACCAGTGTTCACTGGGAAATTAAAGGGATATAGAAGAGAGATGTAGCAATGGGTCTCAAGTGTTCAGCAGCAGACACATCTGGGAAACTTGCTAGAAGGATCCATCCCTGGACTCTGACAAGATGAGGGATGACCACTCAAATGGAAGCAAGTGGGAGCTTTGATTCCTAGCTTCCAGCTGCAATTGCTTGTGTTGGGAAGAAATACGAAGGCAGCCTATGGGGTTGTAAAAGCTTTACAAGGGGTAAAGGGGAGGACTCACAGATGCTTTGATTGGAGGCTGTTACCATGGAGGGAGCTACAGGTAATGTAACTAAGCACAGGGCGTCATTTGTCCTTGTTAAGGGAGTGCAATTGCCCAATTGCCGCTCTCCAATTGGTCTAAGTTGGGAAGATAGGAAGAATGTAATTTAATCAAGTTTAGGACATTTTAGGTTGATTGTAACTCTGAGTGGACTGCCTCGCTTCTTCCCTCCCTCCCTCTCTCCCTCTTTCTTTCCCCTCCTCTCTCTCTCTCTCTCTCTCTCTCTCTCTCTCTCTCTCTCTCTCTCTCTCTCTCTCTCTCTCTGGCTCTCTCCCTCCCTTCCTCCCTCCATCCTCTCCCCCGTGTGTGTGTGTGTGTGTGTGTGTGTGTGTTGGAGGAAGAGTCACATACCTGCCACAGCATGGATGTGGAAGTCGAAGGACAACTTTCAGGAGTGGCTTCTCTCCTTCCAGTTTGTTGAATAGGGTTTCTTGTGTCTGTTTCTGTCCTGTGTACTCCAGGGGCCTGACCCACGAGCTCCATGCAGATCTCCTTTTGCTTCCTGTCTCACTGCAGGAGTGTTGGGACTACAGGCATGCATGCGCCATTGCATCAGCCTTTCTGTGTGGGCTCTGGGGACCAGACTCAGTTCCTCTGACGTGAGAAGCCAGCGCTTTTATCTGCTGAGTTATCTTCTTGGCTCACAACTTCTACCTTTTATGAAAGACTTGGGCATTGTTCATTTTTATATTTTGTTTGTCAATGCCCACGTAAGAATTGCTAACTAAGATCATGAAACCTATGTACTAATACTTTAATAAAGCCTCCATGTCTCAATTTTACAAGTCATCTATCCCCAAACATGCTACTTCTGTCTTAACACATTTTCACAGGGGTTCAGAAGCCTAACCCCCAACTCTGACCCTCATGTACTATTTGAAGCAAGAACATTATAGTCGTGGGGGCTTCTTTGCAGTTTCTTATAATGTCTGCACACCTTAGCTCTATCACTAGCTGTACCCAAAGGCCAGTGTATCAGAAAGATTACTCCAGGATGAGACAAGGAAAATGCATTGAGATACATATACCATGCAGTTCGGAGATCTCATGTAAAAGTCAGAATATAATGGACAGGTTCCTCTCCAGGTGCCAGAGTTTCCTACATAACATCCGCAGTTGAATAGGTCCTCCCAAGAGGCAGGCATCCCAGAATAGTCCATGTGGAAGAATGTGTCGATTTAAGAAGCCACCAGAATGAACTATTCCCCTGTATCTCTTTGTTGAAAGTCATTGATGCAGACAATGCTATAATTCAGGGGCTGCAAACTCCAACGCCTACATTGAACTATGAAGGTAACATGAGTTAGCAGATGGCTGTGTACCTCAAGCTGTCTTCTTTCAATGAAGACCCAACTTAATTAGCACATTAAAAAAATGGATGTGTTTTTCATTTTCACTGTCAAGCAAAGTCTCTCATTTATTTATTTATTTATTTATTTATTATTTATCTATTTATTTATTTATTTTCTTTATTTATTTGACGATCCAATAGTATGATAAATTACACAATACCCCAAGCAACCACACTGGGATTACAGTATCTTCTCTTAAAAAGGTGATACCTTAGAATTGAGTCATTGCTAAAGATACCAGAATGTTTTCAAATACACACATGCACACACACACACACACACACACACACACACACACACCACTGTGACAACAGGATTATGTCCATCCACTCAACCTCAATTTCTAACCCATAGTTCACCATTTTTATTGGATTGGACCTTATGTAATATGCCATCTGAAAGTAAAGGCACAGGGATCTGGGGAGATGATTCAATGGATAAAAGAACTTGCTTCATAAGAGCAAGGACCCATGTTTGGATCCCAGAAATTATATATAAAGTCAGGTGTGGCCACATGAATGCCTATAACTTCAATGCTCTGCAGGGCACATATATTGAGGGAATCACACAAATTAGAAAGGAGAAGGAAATGGAGGAAGGGTAGGAGGGAAGGAGAGACATGGACCAGATACTCTTAAAGCTTTCCAATGATGATGAGCTCAATCTTTCTCTCTTTCCTGCCCTCTTTTTTAATTCATAAGACCTTGTGTTTGGCCAGCTAAGCAGGGAAGGCATAGGGAAGGGAGGTGACTGTCTCTGTCAGTATCCATTGAATAAGCTGAGTTATGTATTTCCTACATTTAACTCTGAATGGATACAGAATGAGCATTCCATAGTTCCTTTCTGAGTTAAAGGGAAAAACACTTACATTTTTAATTTTGTAAAAAGTTTTCAACTTTATTTAGATTCGGTTCACTCACATTTGGGTCAGAATTAGGAGAGGGATGATTTGAGACTAAAAAGCAAAGGTGGAGTTATTTCAAAATATTATCATGGACCCTCTTACAAGATATATTAAAATCTATGGAGCTTATTTCTTGTGTGTGTGTGTGTGTGTGTGTGTGTGTATGCATTCAAGTGAGTGCTACTGGCTGCATGTGTGTGTTTGTGAGCACAGAAGAGGACAACCTTGGGTGTCATCCCAGGAACTGTTCACCTCCTTTGAGGCAGGCTCTCTTGCTGGCTTGGAACTCAGTAATCAGGGTAAACTGGCTGGCTAGAAAGCCCAGGGACTAACTTGTCTCCACTTGCCCAGTGCTGTGACAACAGGCCCCTGCCACCATGTTTGGGCCATGTTTACACAGGTGCTTGGGACTCAACTTGGTTCTTCATGCTTATAAAGCAAGCAGTCCATGTACTAAAAACTACCTTAAACTTTTAAAATTAATAACAATAAAGTGAAGCAAGATGAAAATGGGTAGAGACTGTGGCTTGCTGAGCTTAATATTTTTCAGCCAAGTTAGCCTTTTATGTAAGATGGCTGATTTGCCGAAGCAAGATGTTTGCAAATAGAATCTTTTTAAAAAATCATTGATGCAGATTCTGAATAATAGTTTCAATTAAATCATGTTTCCATTTCCAATTAGTGAAATATAAATGGGAACCTCTAATAACTTTCCCAGGAATTTTGTTGATGAATTTATTTCATTACTTTTAGTTTATTTTAATTTTTAGCAATTTCATACATGTATACAATGCATCGTGATCATATTCACCCCTTTACTCTTTTAGACTCTTCCCGCCCTTGCTGATCCCATTTCTTTTCTCAGCAAATCACCCTCCCACTTTTGTGTTTTTTGTTTATGTGCAGGTCTTGTGCAGATAACCACCGATGTCAGGAGTTCATGTTTACATTAGCCATCTCATTCCCAAAAGACACCATGCCATGTTCCAACCTCCATCCTTTAACTTGTACAATCTTTCTGGGCCCTTTTCTTTTATGTTCCTGGAGCCCTGAGGAGATGGGGTGGGACAGAGGGATTGAGTTGTGTGATACAGATATTCTCTTTCAAGCTAAACACTTAACAGTCACTTATGCTCAACGCTGACCAGTTATGAGCTCCTGGATTAACTGTCACCCACTA